GTGTCCGTGACGTCACCCGTAGGTTCCTGAAGAGGTTTTTGAAGCTCAAAGTGGGCGGAGCCGGCCGTCGCCATCTTGGCAGCGCGTGACCGCGCGTCACTCCCCGAGAGAGAGCGGGAGGTTGCCGCTTGGTTGTGGCTAGCAAGCTAGACGTTCACTGATGCTAATTCGGAATGATTAATAGCCTATACATGGCAAAACAGTAATGTTTCTTTATCTTTATGGATTTAATCACGTGTAGACGTGTTTAAAGACGTCTATTTGAGCGTAAATGTTTGCAGGTCGGTTGTTTACATTTTCTAAAGGAGTTATTTCACGCTGTTGTCCCATGGTGTAATGGCGGACTTTGAATCCAGCGATCCGAGTTCAAACCTTGGTGGGACCTCGTCCTTTTCCGAAGATCAAGACATTATAAAAAATTAAAGATAAGGGCCCGTATTCATGAAACAGCTTAAGGCTAAAAGTAGCTCATAACTCGCCGATTTAGGAGAAAATCGTAAAAAATAACTAAAATAGCTGTTGCCAGCAATCTGCCTCTGAACGTAAACATTTTAGAAATATTTGATGATAATGAGCTTTTATAAAGATATGGCCTTTGGTTTTGAAGGTTATCCGAACTTGATTATATGCTTGTTTTCATTAAGCAGTTGAGCAAGAAGTAACAGCTGTTCTTGCGTCCAGTTTGGTTTTCTTTTACGTTTGCATGTCTTACCATCAGCCATGATTATTCCACTCTGTTAATTAAAAGGCTGCTTATATGCATATTCACTAATTATGAGAAGCATACATGTAAGAGGCTGACAATTAGCTGAACACACACTTGTTTAATTAATTAATTCCACTTAGCCTGCATTTTAAAATCTTGATTTGAATGTGGCAATTAACATTTTTATTTTAAACCTTTATTTGAATACGGCAACATAATATTGTGTTCTACAGTATTTCTATGAATAAATCTCTGACAGAGACTATCAGCCAATCACTGTGTGCATAGTTAATAAGCACGCTGACATCATCCATAGCAACGAGCTCAGCCCCGCCCCCTTACTCTGAGCTTAAGACTTCTCTCTATTCTTCAGTACAAGTTTGTCTCAGCAGCTTTGTGAATAGGTTTTAAAAGCTAAAAACTTTTACTGCTATTATGGAGAACTCTTAGTGGTAAGATAAAATGTTCTGTGAATACGGGCCCTGGCCTGGTAACCACAAGGTTGTAGAATAAAATCCAAAAAAAAGTATTATGCTGCAACTTCAGATGGGTAGCGACTCAAAGTGCGTCTGTTGTGCACTATAATAAAGACCAAGATGAATACAGTGAAAAAAGAAGAACATTTCAACAGAAGCTTGGATGTCCTTCATGGACTGTACCACTCTTCTTGTGTTGAGTACGAGGAAAGCGCGCATCTTGAGAGTGACTCATTCTGCATTCATATGAACAATGCATTTGTACATGACTCAGTATCCTGAAACTCTTTTCAAATAAATAAATGAAAACTTCACGGACTTTTGCATCTATTTATGTTACAAGGATAGCTTCCTCAGGAACCATAGAGAGAATGTGGTGCAGAGGCTGTGGGTTAATCAAATAAAACCTAAACAATAACCTATAGGATACTGTATGTATAGGTTCTCTTTAGGTTATAACAAAAAAACCTCCCTGCAAAGTTTTGGAAACGTTAGTAATGTTTTGGAATTAACAGAGTATATCAAAAAGTGTATTTTTTTTTTAATGTGATTGTTGGTACATTTTTAAATATTCGTGAATTTATTGTTGTATCTGATTGTATTAGTCTATATAGAGTGATAGTCAATGTAAAAAGAGCAAATGGGAGAAGCAGCTAGATGAACACCAATTCTTCATGTAGTACAGTAACGAAAGTTCAATTGCAAGTACTTTTGAGTTTCACTAGATTCATTACACAAATAGTGATATTCCAATATTAACAAGTCAAAGTAGAATGTTGTCTCTTTGCATTTTCCCATAATAACCACAAAAAGTAAATCATAAAAACACAGAAACATAAAAACTCCCCTCGAAGGGCTCATGAAGCAGATACATTCAGTGAAAAACACAAGTGCTTAGCTATACAACAGCTTATTTACAACATATCTTTATACATATAAAAAGTCCCGGTATATTCCTCTTTCCGCTCCCTCTTGCGCACAATTGAACGCGCAAACCTCCCAAGAGCACATGCGCACTACCTAGTGCACTACCCTAGCAATAACCAGGGCCGGACTTACAGTTGAGGTCAAAAGTTTACAGAATCTGCAAAATGTTAATTTACCAAAATAAGAGGGATCATACAAAATGCATGTTATTGTTTATTTAGTACTGACCTGAATAAGACATTTCACATAAAAGATGTTTACATATAGTCCACAAGAGAAAATAATAGTTGAACTTATAAAATGCCCCCGTTCAAAAGTTTACATCCCCTTGATTCTTAATATTGTGTTGTTATCTGAATAATCCACAGCTGTGTTTTTAGTTTAGTGATAGTTGTTCATGAGTCCCTTGTTTGTCCTGAACAGTTAAACTGCCTGCTGTTCTTCAGAAAAATCCACAAATTCTTTGGTTTTTCAGCATTTTTGTGTATTTGAACCCTTTCCAACAAGGACTGTATGATTTTAAGATCCATCTTTTCACACTGAGGACAACTGAGGGACTCATATGCAACTATTACAGAAGATTCAAACGCTCACTGATGCTCCAGAAGGAAAAACCATGCATTAAGAGCCGGGGGTGAAAACTTTTGAACAGAATGGAGATGTGTAGCCTACATTTTTCTTATTTTGCCTAAATATATTTGTGCATTTAGTACTGCCCTTCAGAGGCTACAGAAGATAGTTACATGTTTCAGAAGACAAAATAAGTTAAATTTACCCTGATCTTCAAATTCATAAAGTTTTCATGTGGTACACAGAAGTACAACCCAGCTAACAGGAACGTTCTCAGAACTTTAGCTAACTTTCTGGTTTTCTCAAAGTTACAAACTAACATTCTTCTAGTAACGTGAACAGAACGTTAATAACATTCTGAAATGTTAGGACAAAAGACATTACTTATACACTGTTTATGGAATGTTTTTCTTAAACATTTTAGATGGACGTTCCTCTGACATCTTTTTAATGTTCCTAACGGGGAACATTCTCACAATTTTCACTAACGTTTTTTAAAAGTTATAAAAAAGGACAAAATGTTCTTAAAGTAATGTTTAGCAGACATTTTCTATAACTTCATTAATATTTCGTAAACTTTCTCATAATGTTACGAGAAAACATTCTTAGAACAACCTTCTCGGAATGTTCTTCGAATGTTATTTGATAATTTTTTGTGTAACTTTTAAATAACATTCCAATCTTGACATTTTAACATTATTAGAATATAAAAAAAATAAGAAACTTTCAAATAACTTTATATTTCAGGTGAAAATAAAAGTTAGCAGAATGTTGTAAGAAATGTTTTTGTAGTCTTTAAATAATGTTAATCACAACAAGAAAACTGGACATTTACACGTTCATAGAATATTAAAAATAAATGTTTAAATAACATATTTAAGGTGAAAATAAAGTTAGCAGAAAGTTGTAAGAAACATTTTTGTAACCTTTAAATAATGTTAGAATCATGACAAGAAAACTGGACTTTAAAACGTTTTTAGAACCTAAATTCATTACCTGGGTTTAAACTACTTGTTTCAGAATGTTAAGAGAATATTCAAAAGTAACTCCCATAACGTTTGCAAAAAATGTTTCATTCACAACTTTCAAATAACCAGGAATTTTTTTAAAAATATTATTTAAATATTTAAAATCTAGACGTTTAGAGAACATTCAGAAATAACATTTTCGTAACTTAAAGCTGCAAGTTTTTTGGTTAAAAATTATTTTAAAAAATCTATTTTTGAGCAAGTACATAACCAGCCAGTGTTCAAAACTATCTCTGCCCGATTCACAACGGTTAGTTTATAATAATGTTGTCTAATTTGAATTGGCGGGAAATTCGAGCATGCCGCTGCATCATTACGTCACATCTATATCGCATCTGAGGATCCTGCAGGTGGCGGATCGTTTATAACCTTTTCTCGGAGCAGCTGGAATAATTAAATTTATCACTTTGATGGCGGATTGTAATCCAGAAAGGTTTATGACTGAAATTAGATTATATTCCAGTTTTAAATGCGCATATGATTACAGATAGCCTAAGTGGGATTACAAAAGAACTGGTTCTAAGGAAGAATAATTTGCGTTTTGGGTTAAAATAATTTTTTTATATGAAATTCGAATTGTATGACAATTAGAGATTACACTGTGCAGAAATTGAAATCTACATGTAACGCTAATACACACTACATACATGTAGTCACGCAATGCTGATGTTAACATGAACAATTTGAGAACAAAGTATAGCAATAATAATAATTTGCACGGTTTGAAGTGATATGAGCTAACCGATCGTTAGATTTAATCACCATTGTAGC